TTCGGCCCAATATGATTTATCCAATTTTGCATCAAAAAGCATGCATTTGGCACGTTCAACGATCGTCCTATTAGCTCTCTCAGCGACCCCATTTTGCTCGGGGGTGTATGGTACTGAATGTTGATGTCGAATTCCAAATTTGCAACAGAATTCCTTTAATTGTTGAGTGAAGTATTCAGTCCCATTATCTGTCCGTATAATTTTGATCTTGCGCTCAGTTTGATTTTCCACAAGTGCTTTAAATTCTTCAAACTTGGATGATACCTCTGATTTACATTTCAAAAAATAAGTAAATATTTTGCGTGAATGATCATCTATGAAGGTCAAGAAATACTTCGCTTTTCCAATTGACGGCGTTTCCATTGGCCCACACAAGTCCGAATGGATTAAGTCGAGGATGTTGTCCGCACGCTTGTGAGAAGGTTTGAAAGGTAATCTAGTCTGCTTCGCCTCCATACATGTCTCGCATCGTTTTATATCCTCTTCTGCATTTGTAAATTTAATGCCATCAACCAGTCCATCACGCATTTTACATAAATCAGTGTAATTGATATGACCCATGCGTCGATGCCATGTCAATGCATTGTCGCCGTTGTTAGTTGTCAGAAAGCATTTTGTATCATTTGCACGAAATCTGTATACTCCATCCATTGGTTTTACGTGCATTATTTGTTTGTCATCTTTACCATATATGGTACAACCATTTTTGTCAAACGTTAGTTTGTTTCCAGCCTCTGTCATTTGATGTACCGACAATAAATTTGATGATAACTCTGGAACATAGAGAACTTGATTGACATTTATGTATTCGTCATCTAATTTAAATTTTATATCGCCAATCCCAGATACGTCTATCTTGTTATTATCAGCAGTGGAAATCCTTGTTAACGCTATTGACTTCATGTTCGTAAATATCTTCTTATGAGGTGACATATGCTTAGATGCTCCGCTGTCAATATACCATTCTCTAAGATGGGTAAGTTGTGCTTCTCTTGAACAAGACGTCACTCCGAATGCATAAAAGGCATGACTTGTACTTTCCTTGACTCCTTTCTCGGACGATGAACTCTCCGAATTATCAGACTTTTTAACTTTATCGGATTTAAGTTTATTTTTTCTGCAATCCTTAGCCTTGTGTCCAATTTTTCCGCAAACAAAGCATTTTGTGATAGCATCGCCTTTATTTCTGGAAGTAATTTTCTCATTATTTTTAAATTTTGAGTATTTGTTTACCTTTGAAGTGTTTCTTCCCATAAAAGCTGTTGCTTGTCCGGTACTGTAGCCACTGTCTAGGAGTTTTGCTTTTATGGCATCTGCAGTCATTTTTATGCCACTGCCTTCGAATCCCATGACCATAGGTTTGAATTCTTCTGTTAATCCGGCCAGCATAATAGCACCTGTCAATTCGCTATCAATTTGGAAACCAATACTACTCAGCCTATTAACTACAGTTGTAATTTGACTTATATAATCTGCCATCGAGTCACAGTTTTCGAGTCGAACATTGATCAGCTTCTGAATTAGACCAATTTTATGGGTTGCTCCCGTGCTTTTAAACATGTTCGCGAGCGTATTCCACATTTGAGCTGCATTAGTGGAATTTTCGACGTGCACATACAACGATTCGTCGATACTGAGCAAAATTCTGCCCTTGGCCTTTTTTTGTTTGACTGCATCTGTGGCTGCGCTTTCGCCACTAATTAAACAGTCCTCAAGGCCATTCAATTCCAATAAGGCTCTAACTGCCATTGACCATGTGTGATAATTTTCGGCTCCCTTTAGTTTGTTAATGGACATCCATGAATCGTTTCCGCTTGCCATTTTGAGGTTAATCCCTTTTGGACACGACACACAGGTTTTTAGGCACGCTCGGTTTTATCTTTATTTATACGCCTGGGCCCATAACCTGATATAATTGCGGTATGGGGTGAATAAAGCAGAGTGAGCCCCAGCTATCTATGAAAACTGTTTATTACTTGCTCGATGTGATAACAAAAAAGGCGGTATATTCGAGCGGGAGCTTGCTCTGGCAGACTGGCCCAGGAGCTAAGCTTAACCGAGAGGACGTTACATGTCGCATAAGTGTAGCGCCCTCTTGAACGGAAACGTTTATATTATATGTATCAACACTTTTAAATGTCTTAAAGTTGATAGTTGGAATATTTAAACAGGATAGTAGTTTGTTGAGATGCGTATGTCCTAATCCACCATGAAGCACACCTTGAAGGACAATTAAAAATAGACGAATGGAAGTTATGTTTGTATTGAAGAGAATCAGGAGGATCCACGGAACCATAATAAAATGTATAGAATATTTTACAAACTTTTATGAATATGGCAGATAGCACATAATTGTATCTCTATAATTATGTGAACTTACCAATTACTGCTTTAGCATTTACGTCGAAACGAGACAAGCGTCGACTTCCCCAGTTGTGCTGTTTACCCGTGGCGACTGAATTCATGAGTAGACACTTGTGGTATCTCACCAACAATATCGAGCCCAAACCTCTGTGCATTTCCTCTTCTATATATTGTAGAGAAAGAGCTTCCTTGCATGACACACACCACAATTGTTCAGCGAGAACGGAAAATTCAACAATGCGGCGTCCTTCCATGTAGCTCGGTTGAGGTGATTTATCTTTTTCTTCTGACTCGAGTTTCGAGTTCGCATTATATTCACTGCGACTTTTATTTAAGGTCTTACAGTTTCGACTTTGTTTTATTCTCTGTTGATAAACCGCTTCGGATACTAATTTGCCTTTCCAGCGCCTTCCCTTGCATTTCGACATTCTTCTTAATACGGCAGTGGATCTTCCTAACCTTAAACTCGCATTCGAGTACGAGACCGCAGGGCAGCCAACTTAGAATGGTAAACTAGCGGAGTGCGGTGTTGCCATACTTATTATATGATATTAGACATTCTATTTTGACTTGTATAAAGGGCTAGAAAGGTGAATATTATGTCAATGACATTTATTTACATATCTTGTGTTTTTAAGTATCGTTTGATGTCTGGTATAAATTAAATATTGCTAATATATGCAACATTTTTTCGTTCCTTACAGTTGATTTCAGGAGAAATTCACGTCCAAAAGTTTTTTGTTGATAATCACAAAATTTGCAAACTGTGCAAATATATTCATTTGTAGTGCTAAATATCACATTAACTGGCATTATTTAAATCCTTTACATGATACGAGCACATATGGTACATATTTTAACCCATAAAAGCATAGAATTTCATCAATTTCAAATTGAAGTCACTTTTGTCTGGGATTGTATAGGTAATACATCCTTAAGCTAGCTATACGCCGAGTTTCAACTACTTCCTCCTTTGTCGGTTTTGAATTACTTGAAACACTAGGCGGTCGAATTAGAATACATCCTTTTTTTTTGTAATAAATGTTCAATATTTTTGAAACCTCGATCAGCCATGACTGCACAGTTTGCTGGTAGGTGATTTAAATACTGGCTAATTGTAAGTTCTACGATTGCAGCATCGGATGTTCTCCCACAAAAACCTTCTGATATGAAATTAATAGTTCCATCTGGTGACATTGATATTAAATATTTTAATGTGTTACATTTTTTGTATTCAGACCATGTAACGCTTTGATTAATCGCACTACTAGGCTTCTGAATTTCAATTTCCAAACAATCTATTATAGATTGTACATGACTATACCGTGCACGAAATGGCAAGGGCAGATTCGATTTGATAGATTGCTTTGAAGGCCAAATTATTAATTGTTTTAAATAATGTGCTATAATGGGAAGAGTTTTTCTAAAAACAGCACTTGCATTACTAGCACTAACTCCAAAATCATCTCCGATTCTTGCAAACGAATCGTTTAACTTAATTTTAGTGATGGTTAAACAGATTTTCTCTATGTTAATTTCTGTTTCTTTGCTTAAAAGCTGTATAAAAAAGAAGGCATTGTCCGGAATGCCCAAGTACATTTTCGGTTTATTTTGAATGGCCGTCATTTTCACATTTCTCACTAATTTCTTCAGCTCTAATATATTCTGCTTCACTGCCTCTTCGCTTGTTTCTTCAGATGGTAAATATTCATCGTCGCAATCATCCAACGTTTCATTCAAAGCACTTGTCACATTCGTATTGGTCGTATT